TTAGTCCCACAAGTATAAATGCAACCTGTGAAAAAGTGAAAGATGAAGGATGAGGGAAAACCTGATCAATCACAAATGTGAATAAGTGTTACTGCCTTTTGCTGATACTGTCCAGATAGACAGAGGTTCAAATGTAACCACATGAAAGTGTGTTGGATGATTTTGAGAGAGCACTGATGGCTTTCAGTGTTGTAAGTTGTTCTGTGTAGTGTTGATTAAAAAAAGGAGGAGGCTGCTGAGAACAAGAGGGTTTTCTTCCCTTTGAGTAAAAGAGAGAGAGAGAGAGAAAATTTCAGTACTTTCTGAAGTGGCTGATGCTACTGCGTGCTGTGCTAACAGCTTAGAAAGGGGAAAAAGACGACTAGTGTTGTTTCCTATCAGTATTAGATTACATGACTTAAAAAAATCCCCCACGCTGTGCTATCAGGTGAGAAGCAAACTCCTGCCCCAGGAGTAGTTATGTTTCACTTCTTTAGACCCTATCTGCACAAGTCATTTACTGGAAGGAGGCAGCTGCTGGCACTGAATGGTGGGATGTTTCCTAGACTGAGTGGGGTCTGGTGGCAGCCTGGCGGAAAGGCTGTAAGCCCGTAGCGCAAAGTGCCTGGCTTAAGTGGAAATCTGCTACTGCTCCTGCTAATTTAAAAACAGGCAAATGAAAGTTTGCAACTAAATATATGTGGCGAATTGAAATTTGAAGGGTCTTGGTCAGGTACCCAGGTACTAAAGTGTTAGGCATGGTGTGCAAGGCTGGAATAAGCAGAAAATGTCCAGAAGCAACTTCATGCACCCCTAAGCCTGAACAGAGCATGGAGCTGAGCACGGTCCCGAGGGATGTGAGGTGCTGACGTATGACTGTTAATCTGGTTTTGAAAATTCAGAGTGTACAGAAAGAGGCCTGGGTGGGTTCCAGTGCTGAGTAAGACACAGCTGCATCGTGTCACTGCGCGAGAGGGGCTGACAACTGCTGGGGACTGGATGGCTCCCAGCGCTGGGGTTTGGATGTGTTGTTCTCTTCCTCTAGACTGTAAACCTCAAGCCTGTCACAGTCATGCCAGGGTTAGTGGCATTAGCTGAGTCCCCTTAGATCTCTTAGTAGTAGAGCCGATGACTGAAGAGACTGCTTAGACTATACAGCCTGCTCACTGCTGGAGGCTGGATATCTGTGTTGCATCCCTCTTAGCAAGCCAAGGGCTTGTCCTGGGAGAAGGATCTGATCACCAGCATTGTTTTCTGCAAAAGCAGGAGCAAAAACTGTCCTCTTTCACCCTAATGGCTGGGCTGTACGACTTCAGCCACAGGCCACAATCACAATGTAGGTACTTAGCTCTGCACTACTGTCAAGAGAGTGGTGGCCTTTGCCTTGGAGAGCGTGCAGTGCAAGGGCTTGGCTGCGCTCACCTCTGAGTTTGTTTTTCTGTCAGTCTGTCTGTTCACACTTGTGCAAATATCTCAGCATAGTTCATCTGCAGCTGCTGTTCTCCTACTGAAGCTGCTGGGACTCACATTTGATTTCTGGGATATTTTTTTGCTCAATGTTAAAAGGAGTAACTTGGCATCCATCAGGCTTAGCCTGAAGTAAAACTCTTGGTGCTGGCAAGCCATGAGACAAACTGTGAGATAAAGGTTACTGTAGGAAATGAGCTTTTTTCCCTGCTGTGAGCTAAAATGCAGACTTATTTCTGGTTCTAGACTGACAGCGCATGGCAGTGATAAAAGTTACCACTCCCTCCTGAATGTCTTTACTCAAAAATCCTTGGGCCATGGAGTGGGAAAAGACTATTCATGTGCCAAACAAGGGCTGACAACATTATTTCATTTGTCTGTGGGTTCAGTTTCACTGCTGATGCCAGCTGATTTACGGCAATATTGCTGCCACCAAAATGAGCAGAGTTGAATCAGGCTGCTGATTTGGCTGAAAAATAACCTTGAAAGAAAAAATAAAGTTTTCAGCTACTTCCTTTGATTTGTTGCGCTCATCACTTCTGACATGGGGGAGGTGATGGGAGTGGGTCACCAGGATGGGGAGTGGAGTGGAAGTGCATCTTTTGGCAGCGACTTCCTCCTCCATCTGTTAAAGCCCACTGAAAACCTATCTTGAGAACCAAGTTTACTGTTCTCTTAGACTGAAATGGACCCTGAAGGATCTGCTCTCATGTGTAACCAGGCAGTTTTAAGTATCCTAGCAGTGATTAGAGCAACTAACTGGATCATGTAATGTAATATTTAGATGTGATAAATTGATTTAAATGTTTTCCATTTCTTATGCCACAGGACTTGTAACAGGAGCCACTAAGATTATTTTTAAAATCACATTTTCCATTGTTTTAAGAGTTCTGGCTCTTATGTATATTTTATACACACACACACGCACAATTTTTCTAACCACTGAATATTTAAGACTAAAATGGAGCAGTGCTTTTATAGTGAGAGAAATCTACCTTTGTGATCAACTTGACTTGATTACTCACAAGTCCTTTTCACCAATACTCATGCAAATTACCATTTTTTAGCTCCTGAGGTTGCTAAAGGAATGTTTAGGAAACAGTTGGGGTTTAGGCAGTCTTTCTCTGCTACCAAACCATGATCATACCAGGATTACTGAGTCTGTTTTGTATTTGAAAGAAATGTAATTCCTGTAAGGGTTTCAGTGGGAACTCAGATGTTTCATTCTGAAAGAGATATGTGTTTATAAATCTGCTCTTTTAGCAACCCTATTACATATACAAGTCATCTCCTTGGATTGGAGTCTGAGTGTAAATGCCAGATAGTTGGGACTTGTAATATTTGCTGCAGATCTGCCTTAAAGCAGTGCTTCATGCTCCAGGTTTTTCAGTGCTGACTTTGCCCATGAACTGCTCCGATAGTTTCCTGCTGCTGAAAAGGGGCACTTTGTACCCACTCCTCTGCTCAGTAACCCAGCAGGACACCAGCTGCTCCCACTGCTGGGTTAA